CTGGGAGATGTCTCCTGGTGAAAAATGGGAATGGGTCAAGTCGCACAAGGACAAGGGCGGAGTGAGATTCAGGAGCGAGGATTTGTGGGGGGCCGCGGACAGCTACAGCAAGGCCATGAAACTAGTCATCACTCTCTGCAATCACGTTAGAGATGTGGCGAAAAAGGGATGGGAGTATGAAGCTGAGGAGCAGAGAGAAGCAACTCTTGAAACACTTTATCCTTCAGCTGAAGAACTCAACAAAATGAAAGCTGACCTCCACTCCAACTTGTCCCTGTGCCAGCTAAAACTGAACCAGCCAGAGCGGGCTAAGGCCAATGCTGCTAAAGCCACTCAGCTGGAACCCGGCTGTGCCAAAGCCTGGTACCGGCTGGGGAAGGCATGCCAGATTGTGAATGAATTGGAAGAGGCCAAACAGGCATTTAGGAAACTGCTGGAGCTGCAGCCAGAAATGCCTGCTGCTCTGAAAGCGCTTAAAGATATTGCAAGTAGAGAGAAAGCAACAAATGCACAGCTGGGACTGAGACTAAGCAAAATGTTCAGCTAAAGATAAAATATCAGTAGAGAGAAATGTGTCTTCTCATGATTCCCCATTAAATGTAAGTGCATTAACAACCACTGCCTCGGTCTAAAATAAAGCCACTGTGATTCATGTTTCTCCTCCAACTCTGTTCTTCCTTTCTTGTTAGAGATGCACAAAGGTAGAAATCACATGTCAGAAGGTTTATTTGGAATTGTAGTTGCAGGAGAAAGAGGCAAATGACACCATGACAACATTTCTTTGTAGCCCATTTTTTATATTATGGTCTACATCAATTTCCTCATTTCCCCCTATTTTTTTTTTCAGCTTTAAAAATACCTTTAAAAATGCATGGATAACAACAATAATTATATTTTAGCGTTATAAATATAATTTTGATAAAAATCCTCGTTCACACCGGTAGATGAACCACGCTAACATAAGAAATGATTTTGGTAGTTACCAGTGCTGTTGATTCAGGGCAGAAACCCTACACTGGGTGGTGGTATAATTTTTCTTTTTTTTCTTGTAAGAGAAAAACTTCCGTGTGAACTTTGACCCTAAACAGCCTCGACACAGTTTGCAGCACATTTCACGCTAATAGATTCACATTTTTAAGGTATTTTTACTGCTGTCAAATGTAAAATTAGGACACAAACCGTGTGTGAAGTGTTAAAACAGTAAAACGTTCTTGTACGTTTTACTCCCCGCCGGGTGGAAAGCCGACACACCCAAATACACGGTTGCATCAAAATGCCGAAACCCGGGATCGAACCAGGGACCTTTAGATCTTCAGTCTAACGCTCTCCCAACTGAGCTATTTCGGCACACGATATTGTGGGGTTATCAGGGGCTACAAAGTTGTAAATTGGCTACAAGGCAAAAAAAAATGTTTTCATTGATGATATGTGATTAGTTTGAGAAGAGCTTAGCCTGTGTTAACTCATCGAGTTTACTACGTGACGTGATTTAGCCCCTCAGTTGTATGGTTCCGTTTCACCCACGTGAATATACTTAAACCTACATTATGCATTCCCGTTAAGTAAAACGTGGACTTATTTCAGCTTGGTTTTAATTATCTTCCGAATTTAAGGGCGAATGTCTTTAAATAAGTAAATCGCTGCAGTCACATGTGAAGTCAGTTTGGTTCAAACAAATGGTTCAAACATGCATAAGCCCCAAATGTTCATTATGAGCTGGAAATAGTGTAATCCACTAAAGTCTATAATGTTGGACACGTGACAAAGAAATAATTCAGTCAATTCAATGTGAAAAAATTAGAAATTTAAAGTTTTTGTCAAAATGTTCGCAAGAACAACATTGTGTGGTGGACCACTAGAGGGCTCCACTCACACCCAGTGTAAAGAAAGTCTGTTGTTGTGTTTTGGAGCGAAAAGTAGTTCTGTTGTGATGAGGAATAAACCAGGAGTTTATGTTTGACTTTATGTTTACGTCTGTGTTTACCTCCATAATAGCATTTCTAAACATACTAATTACATTAAGAAATATAATTATTTCAGGAAAAAAAAATACTGGGATCAACCTTTTTACCCATCTAGTCATAACACAAACCACTGCTGAGCAATGATATGCTTTAACTTTGTTAACGTCAAAGCTTGTAAAATCAAGTTAAAACTGAGGGTTATCTTCCAGTTTACAGACGTTATAAAAACCTAAGCGAGGTTTTGAGCAGCCACTTGAGAAAGCATCGGTTTAAATGTGAGAAAAGCAATCGTTGATGCTTACAAAGTGTTCACTGCTTCCAAGTGCAGCAGGTTGAGGGTCGCAGGCGCCAACAGACTAAATAAACTGATCCGCAAGGAGAGTAATTTGTTTGGATGGAGCTCAGATGGATGCTCTCCAAGATAAAGACAATGCTGGATACCTCCCACGCAGTCCATGACATGCTGGCTGGTCACAGGAGCACGTTCATTGAGAGACTGAGATTACCAAAAAGCGCCTCTGAACCACACAGGAAATGATTCCTGTCCGTGGCCATCTCCCTGTACAACTCCTCCAGCTAATACACTATAAACACTGCAATAGTTACACCCTTTCTGCACACGCGCTTTTCTACTCTGTAATAGTCTTGTCAATATTCTTGATATTTATTTATAATCACCTCTGTTAATTCTTGACATTTATAATTGAGTGATTTGTATATATTAGTGCTATTTCTTAAAATTGTAAAATCCGTAACATATTGTATCGTTTAAAAAGGTTAGTCTGTTACTGTTACTGTCTTGGAGCAACTGTAAGCCAAATAATTTCCTTAGGGATTAATAAAGTATTCTGATTCTGATAAGCACTAAGAAGCTGGAAGAGGTCCACAGACAAGACCGGGAGAGGTATGAAACTGAAGATTTCAATGACTCTGGAAAGAAAACTCGTGAGAGATGTTTCTGAAGATCCCAGAAAAACTGACAAGACACTGAATGACTTAGCCAAACTGGGAATTTTAGTCTCAAAGAACACAAGTAATAGAGCCCTGAACAGGAATCCACTGTGCGGTTGCCACCTTCACTTCTGCTGAAGAGACTGAAGAATACTAAGGACAACCTGGGGAAAGATTGGAAGCACATCATTTTTATTAGTGGAGACAAATCACTTTGACAAAGAGCTCTGTTTGAAGAAGGGAGAGGCTTACAACCCAAAGTACATGATGTCCACAGTGAAACATGGTGGTGGGAGTATTGCTGTGATTGTGCTGGGATGCTTTAATGGACTTAAGTGGTCTGGAACGGGAATTTTGTCAAGTTGAAAGGAATCATGAAGAAAGAAGGATATGTGAAGATTTCAAAAGAAAACCTCAAGTAGTCAGAAAACTGGGTCTGGGATATCACTTTGTCTTCCAGCACAGCAATAACCCACAACATACATTGCTCCCAGTCTACCCCTGGAAGAACTACTTCCAGAAGTCCAAGTTGAAGATAAGAACCTGGCCTGCACAAAGCCCTGATTTGAATTCTTCTGCAAATCAAATATGAAGGTTGGGATGGCTACAAGAAATTACTCCAGCAAAAAGGATACACAGTTCACTGTTAGCATCAGAGCAGGCTAATAATTTTCATACTGGTAATTTTGGTTCATGTGAAATCTCTTCTTCTTCTGTGGTTCACACCACCCTCACCCACATAGAGCAGAAAAATTCTTACATCCGTATGCTCTTCGTGGACTTCTCATCTGCTTTCAACACAATGATCCCACAGACACTTGTTGATAAATTACGGACTCTGCTCCTCACATACAAG